TCCAACTCTTAGTTTTCAAATGAAAGATGTTTTGAGTCTATTTCAAGGTAATTCACATAGAGACATCACAGACCAAAACATTTTATATGTCAAACTTTTTGGTTTATTTTAGAACACCCAGAATTAAATCTTTACAGTCAAGAAAGTTTTATGTATTGGTAAAATTCAATTAAAGAGTAAATGTAAAATGCAAGAAATCTGAATATACATAAATTCAATACTGTGAATATTATATAAATTATACCATCTAGAATGCCAAAATTTTCTGTTGATATTTTTTAAATATATACTTAAGGTACAAACAAATGAATAGAAACCATGAATAAGACAGTTTTTATAATTGACTGATCAGAGTTTTTGCCTTAATTCAAACCTACATCAGAAACAAAGAAATGCTGCATTCTAAGAGAAAATAAGAATAAAATTTAAGGTTCTATAAAGCGATATAATCTACTTAATATTCCCATGTTCCTATAAACCAAGTGATAGCCTTAACCTGGTAGAATATGAAAAATACTTATCATCACGGCTCATCTGTAACTTTAAGGAACACTACAGAACACAGGTATTATTCATTCCAATACAAAGAGAATACAGACAAGGGAAAAGCAAAGACTCCCTTCCATCTTTAATAAACTAGGGAGACTGTTGGGAACCGCTCTGCCTGATTTGAGTTGTAACTGGCCCCCATGGCTAAGGGTGAGTGAGCAACCTCTGGAATGCAAGCCACTAAGGAGACAAAGCTTGTCCCCTGCCCTTAACGCTTGGTCAGTTAGTCTATGATGGGTACGACCCCTCAGAGGAGGGGCAACCTAAGCCAGACATGATCACTTGGGAGGCCATCATGGAAGGGCTGGTGGGGGGCTGCAACAAGGAGGGAGTAATGGACCCTCGCCCCCTTGGCTATTCTGACATAGCCCAAGTCCCTATTTCCATATGGGAGAAGAGCTTCCTGGCTCTAATCCACTCGAGCCTAAAAACCTATGACTGGGAAGGCAGTGCAGCCCTTTGCAGGCGAGAGTGGGATAGGGTGATGGGGCCTAAGAAAGAATAAGTAGAATCCTGTGAAACCTGCTTTGTTTAGAATGCTCTCATTTAAATGATAAGGGTCCAAGCAAAAAGTTTGTTCCTCAAAGTTTTATGGCTCTTTAGCTATCTGACCCTAACTGAGAATAAGCCCTCATAGTTCTTTGAATGCTATCTATTGTTTGATCCTTACCTATATTCTTGTGCAAACGAACACAATAAAAGCCCCTCGAGGAAGGAGCTCTTGGCCCTCCTCCTTTGAGGAACTGGCCACCTTTCCTCCCCAAGCAGGTCATGTCTTGGTAGTTTCACTTTCATCTGAGGCGGACAGGGGGATTTTGGGGGCAAAGTTGCCCCCACAGGAGACTACTGACAAAATAGACTATTAAAAACCTATGCTAATCTTTTGTTCTTGAATAAATATTGGTATGCATTTTCTGTTTTAAAAAATTTATGCCAAAGATAGAGATTAGACTGCCAAACTCTGGAGAATGTGCAAAAGAACTTCTAGAACTAGAGATAAAAACAATGAACAGGGGATTTAAATAGTCACAAAGGAAATTCGAATGATCAATTAATATGAAAAGACATTCAACCTCATTAATAAAGAAATGCAAGTTTTGCCCTAGCTGGTGTGGCTCAGTGGACTGAGCGTGGGCTGATAATCAAAGGGTCACTTGGTTCGATTCCCAGTCACGACACATGCCTAGGTTGCAGGCCAGGTCCCCAGTGGGGGCCATGTGAGAGGCAACCACACATTGATGTTTCCCTCCCTCTCTTCCTCCCTCCCTTCCCCTCTCTCTAAAAATAAGTAAATAATATCTTTAAAAATTAAAAAGATAAAAAACAAAAATAAAGAAATGCAAGTTTAAATGACATTATTTTCTGTGTATCAAAAAATTGGCAAAATTTAAAAAGAGAGAAAAACATGGGACAATGAACACTGTCCAACTCTAGGAGGACAATCTGGCAATAATAAAATTTAAAATGGGCATGTCCTTTCAGCAATCCTACTTGTATAAATTTCTCCTAGAAAAATAATAACCCAAGGCATAAGACATGCACAGCTATGTTCAGAGAAGTATTATTTGTAAGAGACAAAAACTGGAAAACACCAGAAATGACCTAAGTCTATACCAAGAAGCTTTATTCAATTTTAAACAGAATGAAAGGGACATTAAATAATAACATGGAAGGATGGTCATGTTATATCAATGCATGAAAAAATAAAGCAAACTGCAGAACCATATATATAGTACGATCTCATCTGCTATAAAAAACAAAAAAATGATACAAGTGATATATATATATATTTTAATTGAGTGTGTACAGAAAATTATTTAGAAGGATGAACTCTAATTCATTCTAGTGTTTCTTTGGGATTACAGATATGAGAAAGCAAGAGGTGGGGACTAAGTTTTTACTTTATCTTCCCTGTTGTTTTAATTATTTTAAATAAGTATATATATTAATTCTACAATTTTAAAATAATCAGACTTCCAGTCAAGATAGAGGCATAGTAGGTAAACACAGCTTGCCTCCTCGCACAACCACAGCAAAAATTACAACTAGACTATCAAATGTCACACAGAATCATCAGAAAATTGAGCTGTGTGGAAGTCCAACAACCAAGTAATTAAAGAAGTCACATTCATCCCTGCAGGCAGGAGGAGCGCAAACAGAGAAACAGGTGGAGAGGTGCAGAGACCTGGAGACGCAGAACAGGCAGTCCCACACTCACATGTGGTGGATAAAAATCGGGACAGACACCTTGGGAGCAAGAGATCCCAGCCCCACACTAGACCACCCAGACCAGGTTTCCAACACCAGGAAATTAAGTCCTCATAACTTCTGCCTGTAAAAATCAGTGGGGATTGGAGCAGCAGAAGAAAAGTACAGGATTCTCAGGAGTCTCCTTTTAAATGGTCTGCAACGGACTTGGGCAGATTCCCTCTTGTTGGGCTTCAGCACTGGAGCTGCAGCTGGAAGGGCACCAGTGGCAACTGGAAGAAATTGGCACCATAGCGAATGCTGGGGACAGCATCTTCCCAGATAAAACTCCAGAGCCCCAGCAGCCGCATGTCCCCTTTGAGTCCTCCTCCACACAGAGCCACAGAGCAGGGACACCACATCAGAGGCTCCATCGACCAGGTTCACATGGGTTGCCCCACACTGGCAATTACCTATGGCTCCCCCACATCCAACTTACTGTAGTGCTTTTCTACATTAGGACACACTACTAAGACAGAGTCCAAGCAGCTCTGCCTAAAACACAGACACACATAAAAACATAAACACAGGGAAGCTGCCAAAATGAGGAAACAGAGAAATATGACCCAAATGAAAGAATAGAACAAAACTCCAGAAAAAGAACTGAACAAAATGGAGATAAGCAATCTATTAGATGCAGAGTTCAAAACACTGGTGATTAGGATGCTCAAGGAACTCACTGGGTGGTACTTCGATAGTATAAAAAATATCCAGGCATAAATGAAGGTTACACTAAGTGAAATGAAGAAAAATCCACAGGGAACCAATACTGGAGTGGATGAAGTTGAGAATCAAATCAATGATTTGAAACATAAGGAAGAAAAAATATTCAATCAGCACAGCAACAAGAAAAAAATTTTAAAAAATAAGAATAAGCTAAGAAGTCTCTGGGACTTCAAATGTACCAATATTCGAATCATGGGGTGCCAGAAAGAGAAGAAAAAGAGCAAATTGAAAACTTATTTTAAAAAATAATGAAAGAAAACTTCCCTAATTTGGTGAAGGAAATAGACACACAAGTCCAGGAAGCACAGAGAGTCACAAGTAAAATGGATGCAAAAAGACCCACACCAAGATACACAATTGAAATGCCAAAGGTTAAAGATAGAGAATCTTAAAAGCAGCAAGAGAAAAGCAGAGAGTTTGCCTACAAAGGAGTTCAGTAAGACTGTCAGCTGATTTCTTACAAGAAACTATGCAGGCTGTAAGGGAGGAAGAAGTATTCAAAGTGACGAAAAGCAAGGACCTACAACCTAGATTACTCTATCCAGCAAAGCTATCATTTAGAACGGAAGGGCAGATAAAGTGCTTCCCAGACAATGGAAAGCTAAAGGAGTTCATCATCATCAATTCATTATTATATGAATGTTAAAGGGACTTATTTAAGAAGAAGATCAAAACTATGAATATTAAAATGGTAATAAATTCATAACTATCAACAACTGAATCTGAAAAACCAACTAAGCAAATAAGCAGGACAGAAAACAAAATCCTAGATACGCGTCATCTGGAGGAATATCAGTTGTGAGGGGATTGGCAAGATTGGGGGAAAAGGTGCAAGGATCAAGAAGTACAAATTGGTAGGCACAAAATAGACAGGGGGATGTTAAGAACAGTATAGGAAATGGAGTATCCAAAGAACTTACATGCATGACTTATGATTGCTAGAGGAAATGGGGGGTACCAAGTAGAGGTGGACAAAGGGAGAAAAACTGGGACAACTGTAATAGCATAATCAATAAAATATACTTAAAAATTTTTTAATATCCAAATTAATAGTTATTGGGGAAAATGGAAAAATAAATAGCATATTTTTCAAACTATACAATGCACCTCCCCATTTGGGAGGAATAATGTTTGTTAATGATGCCACTGAGTTCCTGTTTACATTTACACTGGTGAAATATTATGTTATTTATGTTATTAAATATTTTACCACATTTTTTGCTTCAAAAACCTCCCCCTATTTTCCTCCTCTAAAACCTAGGTGTGTCTTATGGTCCAAAAAATACAGTAAATAAAAATAAACATAAAACAGAATCCTCCCCCCCAGAATTAACATGTCACATATTGTCATGTTAAAATTTTAAAAAGTACCTCGGCACATCTAAGTTAGGTAATTACATGCTTAATAAGCAAGCTGAGTAGTTAAAGCCTCATTATTTAATATAATAACTAAGCATCAAATGTGAATACCGGCTTACCTCTTAAGGTGATAAATTTTGTGTGTGTACTGTCCCTTTTCTCCATCCTTCTCATAAGGTTCATTCTTTAAGACTTCAATTCCTTCTCCACCACCAGTCTCATTCTTACTAGCTTCTGCAACAGAGTAAAGCTGCCCAACCTGATACTGAAATTTCAAAGAGTACAGAATTTCAGTAAGTCAGTAGTAACTGTGGAAACTTTGTATGCTACCATCTTATTACATGATACAGACAGCAAACCCAAACCATTCAACACGTGTTCTACGTGAAAACGCAACTCAAATTGGAAATGACTGCTTAGGAAGACAAACACCAGGTGCTCATACAGCTTCAAAAAACTCTTCTATTTTACAAGGTTTCCAGTATTTAAGAAAACTGCTAGTTACAAACACTCTGGTGCTTTAATTCCCACCTATCAGAAAAACATCTTGACCCTTAGTTCATTTTTGAATAATACACATTTGTATTTTCAAAGCATTTTCACATCTATTATACTCATTAATTTTACAAAACTTGGACAAAATTATGGCAGGTATATAATTATCACTTTGCCAATTAAGAAAGCTGAGCAACCAGAACACCATCCTCAACAGTAAAGAAGAGGGACATCAAGCGTAATAATAAAAGCCTGCAAATACAAAGAACCATTACAGTGCAAATTTCAGTAGACCTCTGGAGTCTTTTTCCCAATGACTTATATATCACATACCAAATTTGGCTTTCGTCTGTCCAAACGGAAACCATATTAAGTATCCAGGATCAGAACTGTGTACTATGAAGTTCTCCAGTAAACAAACTGTTCATAAAGTATTACCACAAAAGGCAAGAAATTACTGACAGTGGTTTGTTTCATTTTTTCTTCTTTAAATATATTTTAATTATGCCATTACAGTTGTTCTATTTCCCCCCTTCATTCCCCTCCACCCTGCATACCCCCTCCGCCACCATCCCCCCTTTAGTTCATGACCACGTGTCTCAAGTTCTTTAGATTCTATATTTCCCATACTATTCTTGCTCTCCCCCGTCTATTTTCTACCTGCCATCTATACTACTTATTTTCTGTTCCTTCTCCCCCCTTCTCCTTCTCCCACTCCCCTGTTGCTAACCCTCCATGTGATCTTCATTTCTATGGTTCCGCTCCTGATCTAGCTGTCCTCTTTGTTTGCTTTTGTTTTAGGTGTGGTTGCTAATAACTGTGAGTTCATTGTCCTTTCACTGTTCATGTTTCTTTAACTTCTTTTTCTTAGGTAAGTCCCTTTAACATTTCATATAATAAGGGCTTGGTGATGATGAACTCCTTGAACTTGATCTTATCTGAGAAGCACTTTATCTGTCCTTCCATTCTAAATGAAAGCTTTGCTGGATAGAGCAATCTTGGATGTAGGTCTTTGGATTTCATGACTTGGAATACTTCTTTCCAGCCCCTTCTTGCCTGTGAGGTGTCTTTTGAGAAATCAGCTGACAGTCTGATGGGAACTCCTTTGTAGGTGACTGTCCCCTTATCTCTTGCTGCTTCTGTTTCATTTTACAGTGAGCTAGAGTTCGGTGGTCTGTTCCACCTGTGAGCAGGCAGCACTGTTCTATGCCAATGTGGAGTCACTAGCCATTCCAACAAACGATCAAAAGCAAAGCTCTTGGATTCTAATTTGTTTCTGGTGACTCAACCATAACCCTATCTCCAACCTCTTCAAATCTGATGAACTTTCTTCCTCCCAATGAAGACAGCCTGAAAAAATGTTTTTCTTTTTTTGTAAGTATATTTTCAAAGAAAAGCTAGCTCTATAAACTACTAATTCAAAACCAACATTTTATTTGAGGGTCAAAAACTAGGGGTAGCTGTAAGCTCTGTGAATATTCTATCTAGAAAGCCCCTGGGAATAGGACGTTGTCTCACAGGTTAATTCTCATCCTCTCTCCCTTCTCTCTTCTCTCTCCTTGCTCATCCCTCCCCCACCCCCGTGTCTCTGTCTCCCAGGAAGCTGGAACCAAGCACATTTTTTTAAAAGATTTTATTTATTTATTTTTAGAGAGGAAGGGAAGGAGAGAAGGAGAGAAATATCAATGTATGGTTGCCTCTCATGCGTCCCCTGCCGGGAACTGGCCTGCAACCCAGGCATGTGCCCTGCCTGGGAATCGAACCTCGATCGTATGGTTCGCAGGCCCGCACTCAATCCACTGAGCTACACCAGCCAGGGCAAGCACATTTTTAAAAAATGAATCAAAAGCAGTTTCTATCAGGATTTTAGATTTCAGAGAGGGTTTTCATAACACAACATCAGTGTTAGTCCAGCAATACTATGATCAATCCTTACGTCCTTCAAATGTACTTTCCAACATTCTTCATAAGAATTAAAATGTCTAAGTCAAAAGCTAAATTTAATCTTGGTCATAAACAGAGCAACAAACATTTACACAGAAACAACAGCATCCAGAAACATGTTCTTAATGGACTGATAACGCGTGGCACGCTCCTAGACTTCTTCCACTGTCATTTTTAAGATTAACTGAAAGATAGGAAGCATGTTTATTAAGTCTGAATACAACAAAGAGCTGAGATCATTTTTGGTGACAATACCAAGACTAAGAAAGATTTCGGTAACTTGATTCAACTAGCCAAAACCAAAAGAATCAACAAAAACGAATGTTTTTGTCCACGTTCTCGTTCAAACAATCAATTATACAAGTAAAGAATAGGGGTGCGTGGCCTGAGTGTTTTAATGCAGCGAAACCTCAGGCACTACTGAGATACACACAACTGTGTTCAAGTCTACATTAAACAGTGCCCGACAGCTATTCATTTTTAGTTCCTGCATTTTATTTTTTCTTTCTGTCTTCTGTCAGCTGTCACTTCTTGCGTTATCAGTTTGTTTTGTCCCACTTCCAATTCACTGCTTCTAATTTACTGTCAGCTCTAAGAAAACCAGATAACTGAGCAAGGGCAAACTGTGTGCAAGTTACAGAAGGACCTAGAGGGCTTTATGTGTTTTGCTGCACATACCTGTATTTCTCAGAAGTCTTCTCTGCGTTTATTTTCCTCCTCCTTAGCTATACTACAGGTAACTAAGATTGCAGACTGTGCCACTACTGGTGGTGTATTTGTGTCACGTGCAGATCAAGAGACAATACTCTCTCAGTTATGGGCTGGTCAGACACGTCTGGAATAGCATTTTCGGCTGAAAGCAGTAACTACAACCACGCAGCAGTGGGACCAGCTGGTGAGGAAGTCTAGAGGTCATGTTATATTAAGCCAAATGAACATGCTGGGAATATTTAACCTTGTAACCTCGAGAAGATGGAACAAAAGGGAGTCGGGGAGGAGAAAGAACTCCCAAAAGAAAACCTGAAGGGTTACCATATGCAAGACAGAAGAGGCCTATTTCCCACTGCTCAAGCGGCAGGAACTTAAACAAGTCAAGCATTATAGGAAAGTAGATTTTGGTTTAAAGCAAAGACAAACGTTTAAAAATTGCAACAGTAAAGCAGGCTGCTTCTCTAAGCGAGTTACTTAACCTGAAAGTGCTTAAGCTGAGGCTGGGACCTCCTTTCTCTGGAATATTGTAAACAGAATTTCTGCACTAGATAGGAAGTTCTACTCCACACTTTAGACCCTTGGAAAACAAAACAGTGTAACAGAAATTCACTTACAATTATCTGTAATTATTTGTGTAACAACTGTTAACACACCTTACTTAATTCATTCTGTCACATAAACTAAAATATAAAGGTAAATAAACACAACAAAAATACAACTGCAGATTAACATATCAAAATGAACTGTATCAATAAAATAACACAGAAGCAGGCATGACTTACCTCCTGAACAGAACAGGGCAAAACCACACGGCTAAAAAGGCAAAAGGAAAACAATGTATGTTACACATGAAATAGTTGGCTGTAAAACACATCTATATGCTTAAAGGAGCTTTGACTGTGAGTCCAATGAGAGCATGGTGAAAGGCTGTTATTTACGGTGCCTACAGCTCTAAATAAGTGTTGAACTGGGTAGATAAAATCACCACCATTCTGGGTTCTCAACAATCACTGCATTTAGCATCCAAATCGTACCAGGACCCCAAAAATGCAGTTGCAAAGATTCCTGTGAGGAAAAAAAGAACAAGAAAAAACTCATCACCGAAAACTGCAGGCTGGTAAGGTCATACTATCCTGAGCGTGCCAGATCTCGTCTGGAAACCGCAGGGTACAAAATGCATTGTTTGGTCTGGTCAGGGTGCTTCAGGGCATTTTCATATGATTTCATTCTCCATCTATACACTATGCACTTTTGACACTTCCCACACAACAATATCTTGAATTTCAAGAGTGAATGCTTCCCCAAACTGGTCCCCACTACCCAATTACTTCTCAATTAAGAGAAAAACAAGTAAAGTCCTTTAGACTTAGTAAGAAGAAACTTTATGGAAAATACCTTGAGCCTTATAAATATGACAAACCCTTCTGGGGTAGGCTCAATGTAAGGTTGATACATGTTTGGTCTTGTCTGAGAGTTTGTTATCGGACACACAAAAGGACCCATGTGGGGGTTACCGCTCCTGAAGATGAATTCCCAAAAAGAATACCATGGTGAATTATATCAAAATACTGCATTTTACCACCAAATTTTTATAGGGATGTATAGAACTTTACGAAGTTCTACCCAAAACTCTGAAAACCATCCTAAATATCAATTTCTCATGATAGATGACGTCCAAAAAGAGAAATGTGTGTGTGTGTACCTGGTCCTTCTCAGACTTTCCCTCCAAGCCATTAAGCCACCACACCAGGAAATGACACTCTTTTTACTCTTTCCATTATACACAAAGGGGAAACAAAAAAATCTCATGATGGTCAGCTCACAGAAAATTGCCAACAGTGTTTCTCATGCCAACTTCTTAGCTCCACTTTCCACCTACTGCTTTCTCCCTATTCTCCTCAAATATCTATGCCTGAATATGCACATCACCTTAATCTTCAACATGTATGAAACATTTCTCCTGTAACTCCCTCCTCCCTGACTACTGGCGATCACTCATCACTCCTTGTCTTTCTCATAATGATCACCTAAAGACAACGAACATTCTCAAAGTCACAATGGTCACTCATTTCTATTCTCCTCAAGAACTGACTAGTTATACAAAGCCCTTCCATACCCAGTCATATTAGCCATCTCCTCCAGGTACACACTAACTTGCTCACTGCCTCATGAACAGAAAATAAACTGGAGCAGGAGTACAGTGGTTGAGGGAAGACTAGGACATAGGTTGGGAGCATATTTTGAAAGTTATAAAAAGATAAAGACAACAATATAGGTTGTGAGAATATTATCACAGTCTGCAATATAATGGTAAGAACTCCATTAAGTTTATTAGGCAACAAGGAATCCTGGGAGGCTGTTCTGAGAGTTAACAGACATGACTACAGCTAACCTGAAGAAGGCATCAGGCACCAGTAGGCTGTTAAAAATGTTGAGGAAAAGGCCATTTTTGCGAGGCTGGGCAAGGCCTTACAAAGGTCTGAACCAAGATGACATGCTGCAGAGGAAATGGAAGGAAGGAGTATGGAGGTGAAGACTTCCCTGAAGTTTCACAAAACCAAACAATCTCTGCTGAGTAATTTTAATATACAAGTTCTCGCTAGCAAGGAGATTCCTACTTTTATACAATGCCACTTCCGGAAAAACTTATTTCACAAAATGAAAGTGACTGATTAAGATGCTCTGAGTGAATGATGAGTCAAGTAACTTCTTCAAGATTTACTTAAGAAAAAGAAAGAGAGAGAGAGAGAGAGGGAAAGAACAGGCAGGTTTTGATCTACTTCTAGTTTAAAAGCAGTAGAGGTATCCCTCATGCTTTGAAAGTTTGCCACTTCACCTTTAGGAAATACCTACATTAGAACCTATTTTCACTAACTGAAAAAAAATACAGAGGGTTTTGGCTCTCACGAATAAAGGAAAAAAGTGAAGAGTGGTCAGTGTTTTCTTTTGCAGGACTGTCACAGAGGTAGTGTGCAACCCCAGGCAGCAGAGTGGCCCCCGCCAAGCTCCTCCCCAAGGAACTGCCCTCAGGATTTCAGATCAAGCTGCCATAGCTCTGAGCTGTGGCGGTGAGCACCTTGCTTCACCTTAATTTACTTCGTGCATCGGTCAGCAAGATGTGTCCTAAGGAATCGCAAAAGCCTGAGATCGTAGAGGTATTACACTTAGCATAAAACTAGATGCAAGTAACCATATTTGATATGATTTTGTTAAGTTTTGGGGGGAGTTTGGCAATGCTCAAAATTTTTTCACATACAGCTGATCCTTGAACATAGGTCTGAACTGCGCAACTCCACTTTTATGCAGATATTTTCCAATAAATGCCTGTTCAATTCTTGAATGGGAGCTTGAAGATGCAGAGAACTGATTGTATGCATTGATCTATGTACGCATTTTCTATTGGGTACCTAGCATCAGTAGATTTTGGTATCTCGGAGGATCATGGAGCCAATCCTCTGTGGGTACCATGGGACAACTAAGTTTTGGGGTAGTCTAAGGTTATACATAGATTTTTAACTTGGGGGGGTGCGGTATTTATTCCAAGACTCAAATGTATTAATTAATTGTAACTACTTCTTTGTTTTACACTGTTTCAGCTAACAAAAGGTTTCATAAGAATGCTCTACTTTCCAATAGTGGGAGAATTCTGAACAGGCATACCTTGTTTTATTGTGTTTCACAGGTTAGGTATTTCATTTTTTTACAGTCTGAAGGTTTGTATTGGGTTGGCCAAAAAGTTTGTTTGGTCTTTTCCATAAAATGGCTCTAGTAGCACTTATTTGTCTTTAACATCATTCGAAACCATTTTGTTAGACTGCATTTTGACAGCTGCTACATCAGCATGCATTTAAAAAAACATAAAAATGGTGAATTTGGGGGGTATCCATTTTAATATTGAGGTTGGAAGAAAATACATTTTTGGCATAGAATGCTTTATTATTTCAAGGAAGGTAAAAAATGAAACTGGCACACATACAAAAGATGTGTAGTGTAGGGAGAAAGTTCTGTGACTGACTGAATGAGTCAAAAGTGGTTTGCAAAGTTTCATGCTGGAGATTTCTTGCTGGATGATGCTCCACAGTTAGTTGACTGCAATCAAATTGAACTTTGGATTTACATTTGACAATAATCAAATCAGACATTAATTGAGAACAATCAACATTATATCCCACAGGAGATAGCCAACATACTTAAAATATCCCTATCGATAAAGTTATTGGTAAATACAAAAAATGTGTCTTTTACTATATAGAAAAAGCCATACAGACTTTTTGACCAACCTGGTAACAAGCCTATGCTGAACAAGTCTATTGGCACCATTTTTCCAATAGGCTGAGATGCTGGTTAGCACTTGTTAGCCACAAAGTATTTTTTCATTAATGTATGCACATTTTTAAGATATAATATTATTATACATTTACCAGACTACATACAGTATAGGGTAAACATAACTTTTATTTGCACTGGGAAACAAAAATATTCATGTGACTTGCTTCACTACGATACTAACTTTACTGCAGTGGTGTGGAACCCAAACCACAATATCTGAGGTATGCCTGTATTTGAAAAATTTCAAACTTCCCTAAAATCCTCATGAAAATAATTTTCCAAATGGAACTAGCAACTGGTTCTTTAAAACCAGGACTCTATGCTAATGGCAACTTCATCTACTGCTCACTTAAGTAACAACTTCAAGAGAACTCCCACCCTGAAAAGTCATTCCTAACCTTTTAATTAATGTTAAAAATAGATGGCATTTTTAAAGACGACAAACATTTGCCAAAGTATTTTAAATTTACCAACATCTTCACATAGGAATGACCTATTCATTGCTCCTGACCAAAAACAATTTTAGAAAGTTGACTTGCAAATAGGAAGAATCATCATGTTTTTCATTTAACAACACTGAGTACTTACAGTGTGTTAAGAGCAGATGCTATGCTGGATACTGGGAATACTTAGAAAAATAAGAAACAGCCCTGGCTGGTGTGGCTCAGTGGACTGAGTGCTGACCTGTGGACCAAAGGGTCACAGGTTGAATTCCCAGTCAGGGCACATGCCTGGGTTGCAGCCAAGTCCCACGTGGAGGGCATTCGAGAGGCAACCACACTTGATGTTCTCTGCCTCTCTTTCTCACTCCCTTCCTGACTCTAAATTTTTTTAAATATTAAAAAAAAAAAAACAGTCTCTACCTTCAAAGTCTATGAAAAAAAAATTCTAGGGGAGACATACATGAAGAGTGAATATCAAGAAATGTAATTTATAACTTTAGGGAATATTATACTTTGGGCATATTTTGACATTTGTTACCTTGGTGCACTCAAACTTTATAATGAAAGTAATGGTTCACAAAAAGCATAGTGTGTAGCTTCCCAATGGGAACTGCTTTCCATAAGTTAGCTTGAGACTCCTCACATACTGTCAATGGAATCTACTGAACACTTAATTCACATTTTAGGAGGGAGGAAATTACTCTAATAAAAGAAAAATGACTAGGCCTATGATTTCAAATCAGTTCTGCAACTCACTTGCTATGTGACTTGAGCCAAGTCAATTTCCTTGTCATATTTCCCCAATTTGTCTTAATATCTGCCACCTACATACATTACAAAGATGTCAGGGTAATAAATGAGGTAACACATGATACAATGCATTAACAACTTGGAAGAAAATTTCTCTGTAAATCCAAAGTTCAATACTGTAAATAAACTTTAACTGAAATGTGTCTTTTCTCAGGATCCTTGTCATTGACTGAGGTTATAATTTTTCATTAGTTCATTTGACAAGTATTTATTGAGCCTTTACTACATGCCAGGGACTATTCTAAGAGCTGGGGACATGGGAATGAGCAAGACAAATTCATAGAGCTTACACACAAGAAAATCCATATAATAAAATAGACAAAATAATTGTGTTGTATGGTAGATGGTGATGATTGTTATGGAGCAACAAAGCATGGAAAGCAGACACCAAAAGGTGGGGGTTACAATTAAGTCTTTGCAGAGGGATTCCCTAAGAAGGTGATACTTAAGAAAAGACCTGAAGAAAGGAGGTAAGTTAGTGACTTGCAGAGGAGCACCTCAGAGAGAGGGAACAGAAAGCAGAAAGGCACTGAACTGAGCTTTTCTTTCCTGTAGTGGAAGAACAGCAAGGAAGTGTGTGCACGTGGCCTGCGCAAGGAAAGGGTAGTACATAAAACCAGAGCCAAAAAAAAAAAAAAATAGTGTAAGACTTCTAGGCTATTGTAAAGGCTTTGATTTTTATTCTCAGTGAGACAGGGAATCTTTGGAGCAGGGAATCTTTTAAGTAGAGAAGCAACAAGAATCGCTTTCTTTGTAAAGAAAGGAAGAATTTAAAATGAAAGGAGCATTTGAAAAACCAAAGAAGGGCCATATTCGAAATCCCTAGATGCCCATAGGATGATGTCGAAACGAACCAACTGTGACAGCTGAATAATCACGGCCAACCATATTTCCTGTGATATTTAGTCCTGGCGGGTGAAGAAACGCCAAACTTTTCAACAAAATCACTTCGCTCATCTAATGCACCTAGAAACCCTTCTATTTGACATATCGTGTGTTATCGCCTCACCTCAACCCTGTAAAGTAGGTGGAGCCTAGAGAATCACCCCACCTTAAGAGAAATGGAAACTGAGACTGAGAGCAGAGAGATGGCTCTACTGTCAAGTCAACAGAGTTGCCCACTAGGGCGGAGGTTTTCCGGACTCCCGGGGCTCCAGCATGAACTTCAAGGCACCCAGGTCCCACCTCGAGTTCACACACCAGCGCTGCCTTCACCCAACAAGCCCATCTCCCTCGGGTGACAGGCAGGCTCCACCCCAGGCCACAAATCACAGTCAAACCCACCCCTTCTCTCCCACTCTCGGTCCCACCAGGGGGCCTCGGGGTGGGGGAGGTGGTGAGAAGACGGGTCCCGCGGAAACTCCTAGCCGCGGCTTTCCAAGCCACCCGATCCGGCTGGGACAGAGCCGCCTCTACCCTGGGAGAGAGAGTAGCAGTGTTATCACATCCACGACTGGGCGAGGAACCTGGGGGAGCGCCGTGGAGGGGCCTCGAATGGGCCGGGGGCGCGGGCTGGGGGGGAGGGGACGCGCGAAGGGAACGGCCGGCCCGAGCCTTGCTCCTTGTCGGGAATGTTCCACCACATCCCACTCAATGAACCTCCCACCACAGCCATCATGGAGCCCAGCTCGCGCCCGGAGACTCACAATTCCTTAATCAGCACCATCTTCCCGGAACCCCCTTACAGCTGCTGCCGCTACCACCGCCGCCGCCGCCGCTCCCGCCGCTCACGGCGCCTGCGCGGCCCCGCCTCCCTAGCCTGCGAGCAACCGCGGCGCCTGCGCGTCCACACCCTTCCGCCGACACCAGTCGCGTCACCGCGGACCGGGGACTGTCTCCGCCCCAGTCCCGCGCCGCACCCGATGCGCACATGGCCCTTGGGGCTGTGCGGCCAGCGGGAGGGGGTGCAGCTTCTACTGCGGCTGTGCGAACTGCGCGCTCGGTCGCTGGTCTCCTCCCAAAGGTCCGCCCCCTGGCTAAGTTCCTTCGGAGCGTCTGTACCGCCCACACTTTCCGGTGAGTGTTCCAGTCGGCTCTCAGGAAGCCGTTTTCTGGTGACTAGAGTAAACTCTCTCGCAGCTTTTGAGATGAAGTCCGCCTTTTTGACGGACGCTGCCCTTTCCAAGTCCACACTGAGGACGTCTGAGGGGTGCGAGGGGCGACGCCACCAGGTGCCGTTTTCCTCAGTAGCCCCGTCAGATTCCGCGTGAAGAGGTTCACCTGGCTCACGGCTCACGGCTCACGTGCGTGTTCCAGAAGCCTCGTGAGTGCGGCCGTCGGATCATTACCTTGCTAGGGCCAACAGCTGTGGCCACAGGCCTTCCCCCCGCACCCAAACTGACCCCTGCCCTGCAATTGAGAATCCCAACAGTTGCCGTGAGTCGGCAGGAGGTGCTTCCAACATTCCGGATCAGGTCTTTTGTGGGGAAAATGTTCTCGCCGTTGAGACTGAGGAAAGGGACTTGTTTTCTGGGAAGACGTCAGCGCAACCACAGTGAATGCCCGGCGTCCCGAGGGCTCCAGCCCGGAAGCCTAAATGGGGACCTTAGGATGAGCCGTAGCCCAGGGATCACCCTCTTACTCAATGCCTGGACAGTTCTAGGCAGTGGGGAAACATCTGGAAACAAAATAGACACAGCCCCTGTCCTTACTTGGAAACAGTTTGCCATAGTGCTAAGCGCTGTTGCATGGATAGAATAAAATACGGTAATGGAGGAGGCCGAGTAATCAAGAGAAGGACTCAGGAGGCCCCTTTTGAGCTTAATGGTATAAATAGCCCAGCCTGTGTAGCTAGCCAGAGGCATTCCCAGTTAGAGGAAAATAGACCCTGGGGCTGGAGAAAGCTTAAGAGTATTGAAGGTCAGGTGTGGCTAGAACATCTTAAGTGAGAGTGGAAGATAAGCTGGAACTAAACTGATCACTAGGCCATAGTAAGGAGTTTGAATTGTTCTCCAGGAGCCGGGAAAAGCTGTTGAAAGGTTATTAAAATAGTAAAAATGTCATTAAAACACTTCTACATAAACCTATGCGGTATATATGGTACTGGAACACACTTAGGGAATTAGGGCTGCCTCATAAAGAGTAATAGTAATGAAGTACTGCCTAGAAACTTCCTCCTGAGGCAGTCCCTGGGATTCACTGAGTTCCTGCGATGTGTGAAGCGCTGTACTAGTTCCTGGCGAGGATTCGAGGAAACACATGCTTGCCTTTTCAGGGAGCTTGGAAACTAGAAGCTTTGAGGTAATAAAGATGCTTTATTTCACTTCATCCTTAGAAAATCATTATGATAGGTATTTTAGCATGCTTTACAAAGGGAGATGGGGAAGCAGTTCAGAAAGCCAAGTAACTTGTGAGAAAGTCACTCGGTGAGCTCGTTTACAGAACCAGGCTTCAACTCCAGGTTTTTAATACTTCAATATCTGGTCTTGCCACTACCCTGATTTTTTTTTCCAGATAAAAATAGAAAGTTGAGGCATTCAGACAATCTTTATGATGTGTAATTGTTCCCAGTTATGGGAAGAAGAATTTTATGATCAAAGTCAAGATACTTGGAGATAAGAGTAGATTGACTACAGATTTTTTTTCTTTAATTTTTTAAAAAATTTTATTTAGTTATTTTTCAAGTACAGTTTTTTGTCTATTTTTCCCATCCCAGCCTCCCCCCGCCCCTTGCTCCCCACCTCCCTCCCATTTCCCCCCCCCCTTAGTTCTCGTCCCTGTGTCCTTCCTATTTGTTCCTCCAAATCCCTCCCCCTTTTTCCCCTTCACTTCCCTTCCTTCTCCCCTCTGGTCACTATCCCCTTGTTCTCTATTTCAGTGTCTTTGTTTTTTGGGGTTTTTTTTTTCTGCTTGCTTGTTTGTTTTGTTGTTTAGCTTCCTGTTAAAGGTGGGATCATATGGTATTTGTCTTTCAGCCCTGGCCTATTTCACTCAGCATAATGCTTTCCAGTTCCATCCATGTTGTTGCAAAGGGTAGTAGCTCCTTCTTTCTCTCTGCAGCATAGAATTCCATTGTGTATATGTACCACAATTTTTTGATCCATTCATTTACTGATGGGCACCTAGGTTGCTTCCAACTCTTGGCTATTGTAAATTGTGCTGCTATGAACATTGTGGTGCATAGGTTCTTTGATATTGATGTTTTAGGATTCTTAGGATATAATCCCAGCAGTGTTATATCCACCCAGCAAATCCACCAGTGGAATTGCTGGGTCAAAAGGCAGGTCGATTTTTATTTTTCTGAGAAAATTCCATACTGTTTTCCATAATGGTTGTACCAGTCTGCACTTCCACCAACAGTGGACTAAGGACCCCTTTTCCCCACAACCCCTCCAACATTTGTTGTTTGTTGCCTTGTTTATGATAGCCATCCTGACTGGTGTAAAGTGGTATCTCATTGTGGTTTTAATTTGCATCTCTCTGATAGCTAATGATATTGAGCATCTCTTCATGTGTCTCTGAATGTTCTGTATGTCCTCCTTGGAGAAGTGTTTGCTCAAGTCCTTTTCCCATTTTCTAATTGGGTTGGGTGTCTTCTTAGAGTGGAGTCGTGTAAGTTCTTTGTATATTTTAGAGATTAAACCTTTGTCTGAGGTATCATTGGCAAATATGTTTTCCCATACAGTTGGTTGTCTTGCTAATTTAATACTGTTTTCTTTAGCCACGCAGAAGCTTTTTATTTTGATGAGATCCCATTTGTTTATTCTTTCCTTTACATTCCTTACTCTAGGGGACATATCAGTAAAGAAGTTGCTGCGTGAAATATCTGAGATTTTCTTGCCAATGTTCTCCTCTAGGACTTTAATGGTGTTATGACTTACATTTAAGTCTTTTATCCACCTTGAATTTATTTTGGTGTATGGTGTAAGTCTGTGCTCAAGTTTCATTTTTTTGCATGTAGCTGTCCAGTTCTCCCGACACCATTTGTTGAAGAGGCTATCTTTACTCCATTTTATGTTACTGCCCCCTTTGTCGAATATTAATTGACTGTAGAGAGTTGGGTTGATTTCTGGGCTCTCTGTTCTGTTCCATTGGTCTATGTGCCTGTTTTTATGCCAGTACCAGGCTGTTTTGATTACAGTGGCTTTGTAATACAGTTTGATATCAGGTATTGTGATCCCCCCTACTTTGTTCTTCTTTCTCAAAAGAGCAGCTGCTATTCGGGCTCGTTTATGGTTCCATATAAATTTTCGAAGTGTTTGTTCTATGTCTGTGAAATATGCCATTGGTACTTTAATAGGTATTGCATTGAATCTGTATATTGCTTTGGGTAGTATGGACATTTTGATGATGTTAATTCTTCCAGCCCATGAACAAGGTATATGTTTCCATTTGTTTGCGTCTTCCTTGATTTCATTCTTCAGGGCTGTGTAGTTTTCTGCATACAGATTTTTTACCCCCTTAGTTAGGTTTATTCCCAGATATTTTATTTTTCTTTTTGCTATATCAAATGGGATTTTTCTCTTTATTTCTGCTTCTGCTGATTCACTGTTGGTATACAAAAATGCCTTTGATTTCTGGATATTGACTTTGTAACCAGCTGTTTTGCCAAACTCATTAATTAGTTTGAGCAGTTTTGGGGTAGAGTCTATAGGATTTTCCATGTACACTATCATGTCATCTGCAAACAGTGACAGTTTTGCTTTCTCCTTTCCTATTTCGATGCCTTTTATTTCCTTTTCTTGCCTGATCGCTGTGGCTAAAACTTCCAATACTATATTGAATAGAAGTGGTGAAAGTGGACAACCTTGTCTTGTTCCTGATCTTAGTGGAAAAGCTTTTAGTTTTTTCCCATTGAGTATGATATTGGCTGTAGGTCTCTCATATATGGCCTTTATTATTTTGAGAAATGCTCCCTGTATTCCCACTTTGCTGAGTGTTTTTATCATAAATGGGTGTTGTACCTTATCGAAAGCTTTTTCCGCATCTATTGATATGATCATGTGATTTTTGTCTTTGCTTTTGTTTATGTGATGCATTATTACATTTACTGATTTGCGAATATTGAACCATCCTTGCATCCCTGGGATGAATCCTACTTGATCATGGTGTATGATCTTTTTGATATATTGTTGGATGGGATTTGCCAATATTTTGTTGAGGATTTTAGCATCTATGTTCATCAGCGATATTGGCCTGAAGTTTTCTTTCTTTGTTGTGTCTCTATCTGGTTTTGGAATTAAGATGATGCTGGCTTCATAAAAAGAATTTGGGAGTTTTCCATCCTTGTGGATTTTTTGAAATAGTCTGTGGAGAATAGGGGTTAGCTCTTCCTTAAATGCTTTGTAGAATTCTCCTGTGAAACCATCTGGTCCAGGGCTTTTGTGTGATGGGAGTTTTTTGATTACTGCTTCAATTTCTTTTGCTGTTATTGGTGAATTTAGATTTTCTGCTTCTTTTTCACTGAGTTTGGGAAGATTGTATTTTTCTAGAAATGTGTCCATTTCCCCTAGGTTTTCAAATTTCTTGGCATACAGTTCTTCATAGTAATTTCTTACAATCCCTTCTATTTCTGTGGTATCAGTTGTAATCTCTCCTCTTTCATTTCTGATTGTGTTTATTTGTGTCCTCTCTCTTTTTTTCTTGATGAGCCTACTTAAAGGCTTGTCTATTTTGTTTATCTTCTCAAAGAACCAACTCCTGGATTCATTGATCCTTAAAATTGTGCTTTTAGTTTCTATGTCATTTAATTCTGCTCTAATCTTGGTTATTTCATTCCTTCTGCTTGCTCTGGACTGTCTTTGTTGTTGT